TCTTTCCTGTAATTAAAAAGAAATAAGAGATCATTTTAAGCAAAGGACTATTCAGCAGAACAGCTGTAGATATCGAACAAAAAATGACACAATTTCAGCTAATGAAGTTGGTTGCTCTACTGATTCCTATCAATGGCACAAGAAATAATTCTGCTAAATTATAGATCGGTGCTGCCATTTGACATGGTTTAAGAGGAATTTTGATTAAGTTACAGGCTCCTACATTTTCAAGTTCTTCAGTTTGTCATGTCTAATTTAGGTTTAGAAAGCTGTGTGAACACATATTCCATTTAATATCTGAACTTAACTTGCATAGTTAAATAAATCTCTATCATATGACATCACATTAAATGGACATGTTTTCTCTATCCAGTATGTAAATACAAGTATTTAATGCAATATTCAATAAAATGCAATTTGAAAGACTAAGGAACATACTTCTGATTTTCTAAAAAGTAATTTGAGATGAGGATCTGAAATTGTTCTTCCGTTCTTCTATAACAATCTACCAACCTTTTCCAATTATAATATTTATCATGTACGTGGCATTTTGATTAATTTACTTTCTTTTATGGTCTATAAAAATAGATTGTGAAACTGAGACATGCAGAGATTAAATGCCTGGAACTGATATGCTAATCCACATAATGTGTCAGCTACTGAGGCAAAGACCCAAAATACTGCTTTAGGGGCACCAAAGCATTAATAATAGATATAATTTCTGCTACATTAAGGAAAATAAATATTACACTGCAAAGATGATTTTGACTGACATATGACATACAGATATGACTGACATACTACAGTATGTCAGTTTTTAAACAGATAAAAACCTCTTTAGATACTATGCACAACAGTAGCTCCTAGATAGCAGATGAGTGAAGACAGAATGATAAACAAATATAATTAGTCCTTTGCAAGACTAAGCCAGTTAGTTGAACATTATAACAATGTCAGTTGTCTTTACTTGGCAGGTCTATTTTTTATTCAACATGATCTATTGTAATACTGTGGGTCAAAGACTCAAGTAACCAAGTGCTATATCACTAACTCAGATGGAGTTTTAATACGCCTGGTCTGAAACTGCTGACCGGTTTACCCCTTATCAATCAAATCTGCTGAATCAATACACTTCTAAGAATGTTTGCTAAAAATTAGGTATGTAAGCATTGATCATTTATTTGTTTGTGTTTCAGAAGACTAATTTTTTAAGAAACTGTTTTTGAAATTATATTCCAGGATAATTATGTTTGTCTAAATATGAAGCAACATAATTTCCTGCAATGGAATTAATTCATATATATGTTAGCATTAATAGCCAGTATTTTAGCATCTACTGCTAAACACCATTAGAAACACTGCTATGCGTCTACTTCAGATGATCTTCAGAAAATGAAATATATGTCACTTACTTTTCGTTGCTTTACAGAATCCAGTTTTACCAACCAATAGGATGCCACTTTTGTTTTATGATACTTCCAGTTATCCATAATCTGTAGTCATTGCGAAACACAAGATAAAAGAAATACACATAAAACCAACCGAAATCTGGGATTTCATTCATAGGCATTCCTAATGCTGAAAAGTTTAAGCATCTAAAAGACCTCTGTGAAAAGAACTTTTCTCTAAAAGAAACAGAAAAATATTTGTTATGTGGGGGAACATTTGCACAGACATGTGCAATCTTTCAGTTTAATCCTACCCTCTTTTACACCTGATTCTGACAGTCGTATGCTACAAAGCAGGTAGAAACTTGTCCTGACTCAGCTGAGATTCCTTGAACACAGCAGTAAGTTCAGTAATGAGTAACTGTTAATCTATTCAAATAGTGAGTTTTTTGCTGCATAAAGGACATTAAACACACCTTGAAAACATCCTTTCTATACATGATCACACGTGAACTGCAATACTCCTCTTTTATGATATCTAAGTGCTACCAAGATAGCTTGAGCTGTGAACTCACAATTTTATTTTCATTTTGCTATTTTATCTTTCTATTCTATTCCAGACCTATGACAACTTGTGCCTCACTGACAACTACTATACCATTAATTGTTTCCTTCCATGATGAAATATTATTTCTCATCAGAAACTTGTTATGGTCAGACAAATTTATAAAAGAATTCTGCAATGAGTAAGTGCATTTAGAACCATGCAACATCTGTTGTATGAGAAAGCACCACTAGATGGAGTGCACACACACACCCCCCATACGTACATAAATGCACACGCATTCACATGTCTGAAGGAGAAAATTTAACAAAGCATTTAATTTCTAAGATGAGAAACTAAATATGCTAGTTATGAATGATATCTTCCAGAATCACCCAAATCAACCACCATTACAGGAGAATTCCTTTCCACTGTGATGTAGTCACACAGATCACTACAGACATAATCAACATTTTTAAAGATTGCAGAGCAAAGGACATTTCTGGCCAGATAGTGAATTAGATCAATTTTAACACATAATGGACTGCATTTACTATATCAGAATACAGGTGTTACTTTAAATTCCTAGATCCCTCCATATCTCTACCAGCCTGAGAAAAGAACTTCTATCTTTTTTTCCTTTCCAAGCTGATGTTAGTTTCTTTGCACTGGATATTTAAAAAGGATTTAGATACCATGTATTTTCTGCTTATATATCTGAATCTTAGGTGTTGCTTTTTAATTGCCCTTTAGATCGGGCATTGTTTCACATGTCTTTGATACCAAATGATGAGGCTCAGGACAATGTTGTATGTAAGAATGAGTAAACTGGCAGATGAGAAGAGCCAAAGAGAGTGACTGGTTCGTTATGAGTAGCGAACTTCCAGTTTGCCTTGCAGCACACCATTCTGAGTTCTCCAGTATGCCTATTCGAGAGCAAGTTAAACATGTCAGGATCTGTACTAACAATATCAGATGAAATATAAACTGTTAATGAATTGTAACATTCTTCTTAGCTTACTTAAAAGTTTGAACTTTCTCCACAATGAAAAACTGAATTTTCCTAACCTTCCTGGTTGTTTCTCATATATTTTATAAAGACATAGGAATGTTTTCAGTGCTGCTCTTTTAAGGTCAGAAAATATGCAAAGCTCCACGTTTTTGAAATCTTTGGAATTATGCTGAGTTACAGAAGTTTTAAGGCCATAGGAGCTCATGAATCATAAATTGAGCTTTCTACTTTCCTTCATTTTATTGGCCTAAGCAGTAAGTGTCTAGCCTGTAATTCTTCTTTCTTATTTATAGATACTTACATCTTCTATAATTAAGTTTGATTCTTCATCTGTTTTTCCCGGGAACTTCATTCTCATGTCATTGATAATGACAAGAGTCTCTTTTGTCAAAGCAACTTCTTGCTCTTTTGTTTTCTGTTGCAGCAAAGACTCACTCTAAAAACCAGTATGAAGCAGAGGGAAATATTTCAGCCATGTCATTAGTTCACATTACAAAGATGTTTCCTTGACAAAAATAAACTCTAAATAGGGTGACATATATTATTAAAGCGTATAGACATAATATCTAATACATAACTAGTATACACACATATGTCTCGTGGACACTAATGCATCATCATTACTTATAATTGTCAAGAAGTTCAAGAAAAACAGTTCAAATGAAAGTTTGTTTGAAACAGAATAAACAAATACATATTCGATATTTATGATGTCCACCATTTAAAATATAAATTTGAAATGTAGATAACAGACTTTGAATTTAAACTCAACATAACTAAAAGAAATTAGTAGTCATAAAAAACTTCCTTTCAGCTCTTCACTGCAACAGTTTAACAGAAAATGCCAATTATATGCCATTGTTTCAAGACATCAGGAAGCATTAAAAAGTAAGGACACTTTGCTCCAAACTCTGGTCAGTGGGGGTTCTGACAGTGTCTTCGATTACCCAGAATTTTGTTTAAAATATCAGTGCTTTTTACACCAACACCAACTTGAACCCCTACAGTGTCTGTGGAGGACCATCCTTGGAGGGTTTTGGGGTTTTCTTTAAATCTTGGACACTAGATTGAAGTATTTCTGATCCTCTTTCTTACTTTTGCATATTTTTGCATTTTCAAGATTAAGTGGTCTTAATTTTATGTTTTTACAAGAGTGAAATTCAAAATTTTTAGGCATTTTAAATATTAGTGTTTTGTAAGAACTACAATACATACTTAAGGATATTTTTGCTTAAGTGATAACTATATTTTCAAGCATAACAAAATATTTTGCTCTATGATATAAAATAATGTGGCTGAAATAATAAGAAAGCAAATATTTTCAAATCCATTTTTGTTTATAACTGCTATAATAATGCATCTATAATTCCCAACAGTAAATGACTTACGCTAAACTTAGTTTCTATACCTTTAGTACATTTGGATCTCAGCAGCCTCCAAAAATGGCAATATACTGCTCTTTTCTTTCCCGAAGGACAGATAAACTAATACTTTATCATGCACAAATGATTTCTTCTTAGTAAGTTACAGTTTATGAATTTAAATTTTATTCTAGCAGTAATATATAGTATATTATTCTTAGTTGCAAAAATAATTATGAACAGAGTTCCATTCACAATACAGTGCTAAATTATGAGTAGTTCTTATCCATTCTGTAAGTAATTTCATTCACATTATTTTAAGAAGCATGACCTAAGCTCTGTCACCCAATATAATTGTTCTGCATATCAAGATCATTTCTGTGGTGGAGGTTTCTCAGTGAAAAACAGAATATGGTTTCTTACTAATGTTAATTTAAGTGAGTAGCCCATTTTTAATGTCAGACGGTAAGAGACTGTTTTTAATCTTTCAGTAATTTGTATTTGATATAGACTTAATGTGACTAGAAAAATCTATATTAGCCCTGTCTCATTAAACTCTCAGAGTACATCTTGATGATAAAAGGGTACTTTTTAAACTTGAGATAGCTAATGTGATAAAAAATACCTTTAACACGTTGTGGTGAAGACACAATCTTAATGTCTTTCCAATTCTATTAGCTGACTTTAAAGATGGAAAACCATGTTAAGGAGTATTTCACAAGCTGTCAGCACACAATTTTAAAAGGATCCTTTTTCATCATTTAGACAAAGCCTCACAGGCAAAACAGACAATGAGTGTTCTACCGGATAAAAATGATGATTAGAGATAGTAAATACTATGAAGCAAGTTCATTAGCATTACAAAAGGATTTCTCACAATCAAAGCTCACCACAATAAAGGCTGTAAATATGGTTTTGCCCCATCTCCAGATGAATTATTTGGATGATGAAATAAATATACAGGTCAGGCACCAAAGCATGAGTGGAAACACACTGGCATCAGCACTCAATACAATACAGAATGAGGTTGAGGACTGACCCCAGCAAACGCTGCCTAGGGATAAGTGGATATGTGGCCCACCATGCAAACACAAAAGAAGAAATGCCTGGGTTGTGAAGGACATACCAAAGAGGATGACAGTCTGGTCACAAAAGGAAAAAAATGTATGGTTCAGAAGTACATTGTGAAATTATATCTAACCACACAAATTCTAAACAGGTAGAAGTGTTTAATCTGATCTATTTATTCTATTAATTATTTAGTTAGACCACCTGAGTCTAAATGCTTGTCTGTCTCAGGGACAGGCTTCAAAATGAAAAAAGTTTTATCTTCACTCTAAAAAAAAAAAAAAATATGGCTTCTGAGACATTTATTGCAGTGGCAAATCCTAAACATGACAGGAACTATCTATAAGTTTTAAATTGTTCACTTTGGAAGTAGAACTCTACTGCAGTAGTACAGTGCACATGAATTAGGTACAGTAGGTTGAAAATTAATCACGTCTTCTCCTACAATGGACACTCATACAAAGTCTTACTAACATTTTATTCTGGTACAATCTGGAGTATACACTGGGTTTGAAATATTGATGTATTTTTGTTACTGTAAAGATTTTGAAGATGGGTACATCCTTATTTCAGAACCAGCAGTCCCCCCAAAAAAGCAGAGAAACTTTTTAAGAGAGGTAGAAACTCTATCTTCAAAAAACTATTTAGAAGAGTAGGTTTCCCAGTCACAAAAACTCTAAGATTTCCATTCTCACAAAACATGACATCCGTATTGCTGCACCAGAAACACTGAAACATCACAGCTAGCACTCACTAAGTCATGTGCTGCTCTAGAGTTCTTATATTCCTGAGTTTCTGTCAAAATAGCATGGACTATAGTACCTCAAGTTATCTGACGTTGTAAAATGAGTAATGTATTTATTGAGTTTTAGAACAGAACACATTTTGAATGCAACTGCTGTGTTAACTCACCCCTGAAGAGTTCATAGTTCCCAAGCTGGGTGTCTGAGGGACTCTGGCTGAAGATGGGCTGCGGTTTAAAGAATGAGACCTATTCACCGAGGATGCACGCTGGATTTGCAGAGATGCTTTGGCTGAAAAGGGACGTTGCTCAGCTGCCTGTGACTGCATAGTCAATATTGATATTGAACGAGGGCAGCTTACAGAACGCCTTATTGGACCTGTGGATGATGCGGGGGATGAATATGATGGAGATTTTATATTTTTAATCGAAGGCTTCCAGTTCATTCTACCTGCAGACAAATTACATGAATGATGCAATTACTTATTATTCTTTTAACATCCATTTTTCAGTCTTTGTAACTAACATATATGACCAATATGTGAGCACATATGTTCTACTATAATGTATGTGGACTAACAACTATATATGTAGCAGTCAGTCATGTCAGACACCCTAACAGTACATACTTCACATAATATATAATAACATTTATTTCTTCCTCATAGTCAGCTTTAATGAGGTAGACTTTAGTCCTCTATAACATGCATCGGATTTATGACAGAGTGCATGCGTCCTATAGGTCGAAAAGTATGTGGCTACTATGTGTGGCTTCCTGATTAAAAGAATATGGAAGCAGGAGAGAAAATTTCATTGATGGATCCCATATTTGCAGATCCAGTCTCCCTCACCTGCTTCTGCATAGCTGTACAGCTTTTTCAGTTCAGTCTTCTGCTAAATAAAGGCTGCTGCTATGAAAAATAAAATTTTAGAAGCAGCATTTTATGTATGTAATTTATGATTAAATTCTTTGAGACAATACACTACTAAAACAAAAAATAACATGCTATATCTACCATGTTCGACAATCACACAAAAAAAAAGAATCTGTGCAGGGATCTCATCTAGAATATATTACCTTCTACATGTGTCCAGATACATTTCTTTATCCTGTCTATATTCCAGCAAATTCAAGCTTAATAAGACTACCTTTTACAGGGGAAAAAATTACCATCTGCTCAAAAAAGAAAAGTCTAAGAGCAAGGAACATTCACAACATTTCCAAGCATAGCCCAGGTGGTAGCCCAGGTGTATTTTTCTCTTTAGCATTCTTGGCAAAAGAATATTCATTTTTTCCTTTTTTAAAAATCAATTTCCATTAATTTAGAAAAGATTTTAAAGACGACCAAACAAGCAAACCACTGTTTAACCATGAGTTACAAATGTTGATAACATTCTAAAATACTGAAGCTTTTTATATAATTCATCGTGAAAGCCAGAATTGCTTGGAAAAGTGATAATTTAACTTACCTGATCGTTCCAAAGATTTGCATTTATTTTCTTCAAGATCATATGAAACTTTTTTCTCTTTTTTTTCATTGTGATCTTCCTTTTCAGTTTCTTCTCCCGATTCTGACATACTGCTACCACTATCACAGCTACTATCACTGTTGTAGTTCTTAAGTTTTCTTAAGGGTTGTGCACTTTCTGGCATTGAACACAATGGCTAATACAAACAAACAAAACAAACAAACAAAAAACAACACAAAAAACACACCCAACAAATTAAATCCCTGCATAATCCCAAATGAACATTTTACTATCACACTAGGCTCCTCATTCAGGCACATTCATTTGTACGTATTTAAACTCTCCCAAATTAGATTGGAAGTTTGTACATATTTAAACCCTCCCAAATTAAACTGGAAGTTTTTCCTTAATTTTAAAATAAATGCTTAAATATGTCATTAAATTCACTACACACTAATCCTAATTCTTTCTGACATGAAAAGCAGCATAATACAGTAAAAGGGGGGAAAATTATTTTATTTCAAGAATGACTTAAACTACCAGACATTTGAATTATAGTTTGAAATCATAAATCAAGCGATACAGAATACCATTTACAATCAGTTTCAATCCCTCACTGATATTTGCAATAACTGAAGCTATAATTTAACAATGATCAACGTAAAGAAACACATCAGGGAACTTTGGCTGGTACACTTCTGAAAGAGAAAGTGATTAATCCTACAGAAGGCAGAAACTGGGAGAATATAGCAAGCTCTGCTAGGTGTATTTGGTGTCCCATGTGCATGTGGGATTCAGTGTCATTAGGTAATTAATCTTGTGCTATTACCAAGGATACTGCAAGACAAAAAGCAGAAAGTAGGAGACAGAGAAACTGATGCAAGAACAGAAACTGCAAAGGAATTTTTTTCTTCTTCCGTTTACCATCAGGCAGACAAGAAAAATGCAATATTCTCCATTATAGCTATTATCCTAAGAAGGCTCATGTGGTCACTTTTTTTCCTACACATTTTCTTTCCAGTAACTCTCAGCTAGACGAAGCAATGGTGATGGCCTCATCTTCCTAGTCATCTAACAGACTGCGATTAAAACTCAGATTTTTAAAAAAATTAATATCACAATTTCTGAACTTATTTTTGGTCAGAGTGAAACAGAAGAACTCTCAGGGTGAAATTAAATTGCCCTATTATCATAGCTTAATGTAATGCACCATGATTTATTGTGAAGGGCAAAAGAAAAAGCCCCAAAGATACTGTTCCTGCAAGGTACACCTGTAGCATAAGCAAACATATTCTAACTAAACTTCTATTCCAGCCAAGGGAGGAAAGATTTCTGCCACTAACTTAAAAGCAACAGTATGTTTATGCAAGCCCAAGCTGTTAGGCCAGATAAGGAAGAGTTGAAGCAGTATATTCCATTGAGAAGAGCCCTGGCAATTGCTCAGATTACACAAAGAATATTTTGATCTCTATCTACCTGCCAAAAGGACAAATTAAGGTGCCTCAACACTTAGTGCTCTCTCAAAAAGAGCTGTCCTAATCATGAAATGCTGTGTATCATGGAAATATATTGATCAGACATTCCTGATGAGTTATACAAGGTATAATAAACATTTTCAATCAAAACTCAGAGCTTTAAGGTAGATCTCATTCCCACTTACAATATGCATGTTCCTCACACATTCTACACCAAACAGTAAGAACATCCTGACCAAACCTTCACATCAATTAATCAAGAATAAAAACAAAGGTCAAAGAAATTACAAAAAGCAATAATGACAAATAATAGCTAGATCTGGGTTTAAACTGACCTCTGAGGAGACATATGATTGCTTAGCAATTCTAATCATCTTGATTTACCCCTTTTGCTAACCTGATTTTTCTTTGATTAAACTCATCTGATTTCATATCAGAAGAATAAAAATAAAAGTAATTGCTAATTTCCTCTAAAATATCTGTTATTTCCTTAGTTCTTTTTGTTGCACAACCATTTGCAATGTAATAAACATGAGTAAACCTTACAGTGTGTAAGGATAAGGTGCCCTCTAGAGGCTACAAATAAACCAGACATTTCCAGAATGTATTTCTCAATCTAAGTAGAATTCAGTAATATTTTAACTGCAGGCAAAAATGCCTTCATTCTGCAAAATTCTTGAATTTTTTCCTACTCTGAGCTCCTAATCATGTTCAAATAAAAATAAGGCTAAAATTCCAGCAAATATGGAATATTTGTTACATGCAAAGCTTATTTATACACACACACCCCCCTCTATATACGTATATATATGTTTCTGTGTATGGAGGAGGATGAAGAGGAAAACACCTCTCTCTCCTAACTATTCCAGCTGTTCTGTATAGAGTTTTCTGAGTCCTGGCCATTCCTTTTTCTGAGGAAGAGAGTGTGCCCAAGGCAGAGAGCATCTGACTTCCTAACAGTAGCTTTTGTCAGCAGGCCAGCCACTGACTTTTAAGGGAGGACAGGACTTTGTGACATCCTGAAAGAACATTTTACGTTGAGTAACATGACGTGAAAAGTACTGTTCCTTCAGGTTTGTTTTGTCTATCAGATCTTGCATATGGTACTTCTTTGATAATGGATCTTTATTTGTAGTATTTCAAGATTACAAGAGATGAGTTTTAAAGTTGGATTATTCTCTTACCTGATAGATTGACAGGCAATAGTAAGTTCTACTGTCTACCTCACTCACCGGACTTCTATACAGATATGTATTTAGATACTACGTATCTTATAGCAGACCGTTTGCAAAGAGGTGGCCAATCAAATGCATGTATTGGCTATATGCACCTTACCCCTTACAGGGAAGAGGTGATGCTCTTTCAGTACAAGATACAAGGACCATCTGCAATGGGCATCTGTATTTCAAAGGGAGTGCATAGGGTATTAGGCAACCAGGGAAGTCTCCAGTCACACGGCTTCACTGTAGGCATAGTTTAGATGATTGAGAAGTATATCAGGACCCTAAAAAAGATGCAGGAATAGAGATCCTGTACAGCAAGAAGTGTGCACGCTGCAAGGAAAAGAAACAATATCTCCTTGGATAAGCTAGTTTCATTGCCTACCCTTTTGATTTCATCCATTTTAGGGTAAGAAAAAACCAAACTGGGAATTTTGGTCATACATAATTTTTTTCCTTCTCCTGTAAGTGGAAACAGCATTGTACTAGTAGAGCAGCTTGCAAGCTACAGAATCCATATGCCTGCTATAAAAGAAGACCACGTCATATAGTCTCACTCACAAATTGATCAAACTTCATCTCGAAACTAATTAAATGTTTACGGTCTCCAGCTGGGGAATGGCTTGTGTGCAGCCATGTTGAGATAGTATAGATCAAGTCTGTGTGTATACAATCAACCAGATAGATGCTCTCTGAGGGCTGCTGGGAAAAGGAAAAATGTGTCTGAGATGTTGAACTTGAATTAAGTGACCCTATGTTAAAGAACTGAAAACAAGGAAAAGAATCCCTCAAGAATGTAAGTTGAGCGTGTTACCAGTGTGGACTGGATTTTTTTTTCTCTTCTTTAAATGAATCCACCACTGTTAAAGCACTAGCTCACAAAATCCCTGTATTTGTAATGAGGTTCACACAAATCTATCTTAATACCAGATTGGGTATGCAGATCCTCTTTACAGTATGCATGCCTGTAATAAGATGTAGCTCTTTGGATTCTTGCACATATATAAAGTAAGTCTGCAAGCTCAGGACCAGTGTCAGCATTCATTTTGTACAGAAATCCCTAGATTTGTACACTATGTCATCAGCAACATAAAATGCTGTAAAAAAATATTTACATGCATCCATAAACAAATCCATCAGAGCTCAGGAACATAAATGTAGGCTCTTCCAAGCAGACCAGACCTCAGATGTTTGCAGGATAAAAGAAACATACTTATTTTAGCCAAGCCCAAACTATTTATCTTTACTGGCTTAGAGAGATGCAGAGTGTATTTAAGGCAAAAGACTTGCATGAACTATGCACACAAACAGAAAGCATTAAGCTAAAAATAATATACATTCACTTTAAAAGCAGATTTTGGATACGAAACAGGCTCCAAGATATATTGCACAACCCAAGCTACACATACATTATAATCATAATTAATCCTTTGAGCTTCCATAGTGCCTTTTATCCCATGATCTCAAAATTCCTTAGTGGCACTAATCGATTAAAGATGAAAGCATTCTTTTGAGATAGGCTATGGATATAAAAATAATTTTACACACTGAAATCAGGCAATCTCTTGTACAACAGTTGTTGCCATGCATGACAATTCCTCAAAATAGCTTAGAGAGGAAAAGAAGGATCTCATATCCAGTTAAAATTTTAATGGAATTTAGTTGGACAAATGGTAGTTACGCTTCTCTTCATACCTCAAAAAAAAAAAAAAAAGGCTAAACTTCCACCAGGATCAGCTAACTAAATCCCCACTTAAAATTCTCAGACTACCTCTCTATAGAGTGAAATAAAAATTAGTATCTTAAAGGGAAATACCTTAGGTCCTCGCTGCCTGGTGCATTTCCCCATTAGTTTTTCATCATCTATTTCACACTGCTCCAGAAGATCCAAAATATCCTCCTCCTAGAAATGGGAATTTCACTACAATTAATTCAAAGCAGGACATATCCTGTCCCTCCAAAATGCAAGCACGAAGCGGTAGGAATTTGAAATTACATTGATTACTAATTCCTGAAATAAGACTATGAATCCCTCCACAGGAGGATATAAAAATATTTCTTCTGATGCATGCATCTCTGCTTGCAATCAACATGAAATTGAAAGTTAAAATCAAGTTTTAACATTTATTAAAGATAAAAGTCTGAAGAAAGAGTTGAACAAAGATTCCTGTAAAACTGCTGGATAGTGCCAACTACAAAGATGAGAAATTACTTCTCAGATTTCAAATTAAATCACGTTAGTTGGTTATTTTAAAAATAGCCATTTTCCTACTGTCTCTGACTACATAAGTAAGCAATCAGGCAGAGTTTTTGGATGCCTTAAACTAGTGGAGTTGGTTTCATGATACCTCTCGTTCCAGTCAATAGTAGTGGATGAATAGGCTGGGGCCATTACTGGAGGAAGGAGGAGGCAATTACCAGCTCAGAAGCAGTTTCTGCCAACCCCTGGTTTGCCCAGGGGTAAGGCTGAGGATCAGGGAAATGGTAAAGTAGCTTTAAGCCATCTAGCCTGTCTCGACCCTGGGTCCACTGCAGTTCATCCAGATTCAAGGATCTGGCCCACAAACTGCACAAAGAATAATAATAAAATGATGGAAACATTATCAAATGCTATTTGTTAGCCATCACACACGATTATCGTGAAACTAATCCACAAGGTCATGAATTCCAAGATAAATAACTCCTAAAGCCAATACTTCCTGTGCCTCAGTACCTTCATTCTTTTTAAAGGGTTATTCATTTCCCGCTGAAGTGAAGCTGCTCTCCCAGCAAGAAACGTCTGGAAAGCAGTGGCTAACAAACTCTCATACTTTTCAAGTAATGTCTTATCATCAGGAGGGTAAATTCGCCTAAAATAGGGGGGAAAAAAATGGAGTTTAAGATAGAAGCTGAGCTACTTATCACACTAGGAACAAAAGTAATGCAGCTAATTCATAGTCTCTTCTATAATGCATATGCATCTCATCTATAATGATTATATAATATCTTATCATAAAACATATACTCTGAACATTGCTCTCTAAATCCAATTTTAACTCAGTGAACACATTCATGTTTAAATCAGCAATTAGCCAGTCAAAAGAAATACCATGCAGGTCATTCCAGAGATATACCAAAACTCAGTTTTGCAGTACTCTGAAATTTCAGTGGGTGTAAATGATGCATGCAGGTGTGAATGATTCATGAAATATTAACAAAATATTGCATGTAAAATTCAGAGCCACAAAATAATTTGTATTAGCAACAAAAGGACACAAAACAGTGAAAATCTAAACAATTGCTTTGAGTTAATAGGCACGATGTAAATTAAAGATTGAATATGTACTGCAGTTGAATGCTAAATCCTCCAAAATAATGAACAGGAAGAACAAAATAGTATAAGAAAAAGAAATTTCTGGTACATGGATGTACAGAGTGACTCTGAGTTTCCATTAGACCAGCTATGCCATTATTCTCTAAAATCACAGGTAAGGAGATTATGACAATACAAGAAGCAGGACTTGGTGATTTATTCATGCTCATCAAGAAACAATGGGCTTTGAAGAAAACCACTCCAATCCATGTCATGAATGCCTGAAACACAGCCAGAAATTATGAAGGTGGAAGACTAATTTCTAGTGTATTGTAAGGAGTAATCCAGAAGTTACTTCTGCCTGCACTGTGCAAAGCATAGGGACCATTTATATATTGACTGGCATTATGTGACTTTTATGTCTTTGTGGGATTTTGGTGAACTTTTTACAAGGTCCTTTCTCCTTCCTTTTCAGTCCTTTCCTCCTTGAAAAGGTATCTTTCATGATGATTTTGTTGCAATAAAAAAAAATATAGTTATGATCCCATTAGACTTAGGGCAGTTCTACAGCAAAAAGAAGATGGCTCCAGTTTGTATAAAATACCTGTAGGAGCTCTAATCTAGTTGCAGCCAACACTTTTTAATGGTGGTGATTCTCCCGCTGAAAAAGTGTCACAGAACAATACTTTAGAGAAAGGATAGGCCAGGTTGGAGGGGGCTTTGGGCAACGTGGTCTAGTGGAGTGTGTCCCTGCCCATGGCATGGCGGTTGGAACTAGATGATCTTTAAGGTCCCTTCCAACCCAAACCATTCTATGATTCTATGATATTCATTTTAACATAAGTAGAACTACACTGCAGCTAAAGGCCACGTATATCCTTTTCAGTTCCTCATGAGTTCACAAATGCTTGAAAGCATAGCTCCTACTTTGACCACCCCAGGATTCCTACTGGAATCAGTGGGCTAGTTGTGCTTGCAGACAGACACTTGACTAAGCCAATTGCTGAACTGACATCTATGGATTAAATCAAAACCTACCGAGGTTGAGTGAGGTTTCTCTGGATTTTTATTCAGAAAGTAATATTAATCCATGCAGCAGTACTAGCACCCAAAATTTCCATTCTATGGCAATGCCTGACAGAACTTAGTCCTGCTCTGCAGGAGAACATCACAAGGAGAAAATACTGCATAATGCTCAGATAAAATTTCTCTGCATCTCTAGCCAAGATTCCTTTACTTCTCAGGGTCTGCTGATTCTTCAGCCTCTGTGCAAACACATGATAATAAGAAAACACAAAGCTATTCCGCCCTTTTAGATGTGCACATTCCTTATGAAATAACACTTCACTTTTTCCTGAGGGGGGGAAAAAATTGTATTTTTATTAATTTACATTAACCAAAAAGCTAAATAAAGAGAACATTTGCCTCATTTTCAGTCAAGAACTGAATAAGCAACCTAAAATGTGATCAGCTGAAAAGTTAGACTTTAAAATTACCCAAAAAAACCCCAAAATGTGTTAAAGTATCATGATGTTACTCTTTGTTATAGTCTAAGTAGCATGAAAATAACTGCTTCATTGAGGGTTTTTTTTTGATGTACTAGTTCAGCTCCATAAATGTCAAGAAAGGATGGAAAGGATGTAATTAAAACTAGGAATGTTAAAAAGAAAGACTTTTTGTAAGCAAAATGTTAATTCATCAAAAATTAAAATTTCACAGAAACATCTCTTTGTTTAAATGAGAACTTTACTGGGAATTATAGAATATCATCACAAAAAAAGCAGAGATGAAGAACAGCATTCTGACTAATTCAGGATAAAAGATGTGATTTCAGACGTCCCACATCCTGGATGAATGTCATAAAGAGTGAGCTAATACTCCCATCATCTAATCCTAGCACTACTCTGCTACCTTTTGCCAAATATTCATAGGCCTTGCTGTCAGTTCTCATTGAAGTAAATATCAAGAAATAATGACAATAAAAGCATCACCATCATCATCAAACAAAATTCTTGTTTTCTGGCCAATGCCTATTATAACCAACAAGTTAAATCTTCCTTTTGAACATATTTTACCAAGGAATCTGAAGATACTTACATTTAAGCCTACTAAGATCCAAAATCAATGTGCAGAAATACAAATATAGTATTTCGAATACCATTTTATCAGAAACTATGGAAGCACCAACAAAGTTTCTGAACTTTTGGCAAGCCTCATAGGTCATATTCAGATTTGGTTTGTTATAGGGGAATACTCACACCCTTATATTGCCCCCCCAGGAGATAAGAATCACAATGTGTGATTACAGAACAGATCCATAATGACAGTCATGGTTCTGGGTACACTGAACTTGAACAATTGTGTCTTTCAAGCAAATATCTTGCACAAACACTAGAGTGACTGATGTCTTATAAATTCCTAAGTGGATGCAAAAATTTGGAATCAAAAAAAAAGAACTATCTGGAAAAAAACTTTACTACCTGGTGTATATGTGTATATTTTCTATAAATGCCTACACATTTTTGGCAGAAAATTATCATCTACCACAAATATTCCTAATGAATGCATTGAATACTTCCTACTAACACAGTCAAAAACAGTTACCTGTAGTTCCCCATGTGTCTATTTTCATGTTCCTCTTTGGAAATCTGTTTACGTACTTGTGCAAGTCTTTCCTTCTATAAATCAAGAAAATAAGACAATTAAAACAAAGAGAGCATAAGCCATGGGCAAGAAACAGCACTTTTCCTTCCTACCAGTTCTTCTTTTCTCCTTTCCAGTGTGTGGCGCTGCTTCTCCCAGTCTGAAGAACCTGGCAACAGTTTTTTCATTGAACCTTGACCGTACAGTCTCTTTTGAGCCTCAGCCTTCTGTTGAGCTAAATTTCTTCTTTTATCACTTGTCCTGAAACACAGATGATATTAGGATATGTCAATCCAATGCTGCCGAGAAGAGATGCACTTTCATCTCAGGTATATCATCTGTATTTTCCAGTTAGTCATGCGCGGTTTATGATATAAAATTAGATTTCAAACACTCATTAAGAATTTTTTTTAAATATTAACTTTTACGGCTAATGTATTTTCACGCTTTTAGGTGTACTGTAATGACTGTGAACTATAATTTAATGCACAAACATGGTTGTATCTATTTTCCTGAAGTGTAGATTTTTTTCCAACATATGCCAACTACAAAGTTTTCCTGCAGAGGGGTATGGCTTTTGATTGTATGGAAACTATTGCCAAAGCAGATTTCCTGTGTGGCCACGTGCCCATTACTGCACTCATATCCCCACTTTGAGACCTGTTTGAAAAATTATTTTAAAAAAATTACAAAAATTACTATTACCATTCATTTTTGCAAGCACATGAGCAAGAAGAAAAACTAAATTTGGGTTAATTTCAATAGCAAAACTGACAGCATGGGAAACATTTACATTTTGAAAATATGAAGGTGGGGAAAAAAGGGTCTTCATTTTCTCCTACTCCAGTTCAAATTTAAAACAAAATAAAAATTTTTTAAAAAAATCAAAGCAACAGAAAAGAGACCCAGACTGAAGAAAAGAAGACAAGTTTACCGTATGTTAAGAAGCTTTAATGCATTTAGCAGAACACCTTTTTTTACATCATAGTCTATTTTTTGATCAGTTCCAAAGCTTGGGGCACGATTAATCTGAAAAAACGAGATACAGAAGACTCAGGAATGTTCAGGTTCATCGGGAACACATCCATTGTAACAAGCTTTGGAGAAACTGTTCCTTAAAATATAGCAGAAATTAAGAGAATACATGTTAAGAGCTTGTTTCCATTTGTATTTTTAAAAAAATAGAGCATTGAGTATCACAGATACTGGGAGCCAGGAGATGTACCTTTCAGCCACCAAGTTATCCAGGCATTTGCAAAGAACACCCTTCAAGTACTGGCACTGTGAATCCAGTCTAATCTACTCTTGGTTGCAGCAACCAGAAAATTTACCGTGCAAGGTGCTGTTAAACACATTATAACAGACTACGTGCCATGCTACATATGGTAGTCCAGCACAGGAAGAGTTAAACTCTTTCCTAGTTCCCAGTTTAGAAGCATCTTTGAATACTTCTCTAAAAAGTAACAACTATATAAGGACAGAAAGAAGCTCTAATTCAAGGTCTTCTCAAGTATATTTAAATAACTCTTCAGATAAACTTTACAGCAACACCTAGAGATCTAAGTTATTAAATCAGTACATAGTGTGAAAACATAAACTAAGTAACAGTCTCAGTAACAAAAAGCTTATAAGCTAAGTACAAGATAAGAGATTAAAAATGCTACCTAAGTATAGAGGAACAAGGGAAATGCAATTGGGAATCAGTAAGACTAAATCACACACATAACAGCCAGGAGTCTCAACCAACCACCACATAACCACTGCCAAGCTCTGGGGTCCCTGCAGAAGGATGTCAGCTTTTGGAAAGCTTTGAGGAGGGATAATGAAGTACCTGCATCAACATTTCGAGGAATGTCTTCCAGGCTGGTATAAACATTTATACATGACTAACGGGTGCTAATGAGGGGCAGGAATCTCACCTCGACAGTGAAAAACCAATGCTGGTTACAGAAGGGACATATACTAAGGAGCTCCAGAAATGAAAACTAGTACTTCGTGCCCCATGCAAATAAGAAGTACGATACAGTTCGTATGTTCAAAGCAGAGGGCAAAAGCTGTTCATTAAAATTGTATTTTAACACTTTAGATACATTAGAGCATCTTAGAGCCTCTACAGTTGTGGGACAGAACTATTCAGGCTGGTGAGCCACCAACTGTCCTGTTGCTGAGTCCCAGCTGCCCCATCACTTACACTTACAGCTGAAGGTACCTTTCGGCTTTGAGAATCAGCTTGTTTGCTGGTTTTGCAGACAGGCTGGCAAAGTGGGCAATGACATTTGATGTTGAAAGAAAAAATCACAAAAATTCAGCAGAAAGTGAAAAAAGTGTATAGTCTTTTTTGGAAGACCTTCATCCAAATATTTAATTGACCGACCTCCTTAGACTGACCTGTTTGTCTTCTATCACGTCACAAAGGCTATATTATTTTTCTTTTCCATACTGCGATAGTACAAACATTTATTGACATTCATTTTTTTTAAAATGTGGATCTTCCACTTTCAACTAAACAAGCATGTAAACATTCAGAGAAACAAACACAAAGATTAAAACCCAGTTCTCCAACAATTCATTAGACAATACTGGCAGTTGACAAGACCAGACATGTTGCATCTCTTTTTCAACATGCAGTTTAGACAAAACACTTTCACTAGAGCTACATTGACTAAATACAGCTGATTGATAACTGAAATAAGTTGGAAATATTATGCTTTTGAGATATTATATTATCGAATCCAGGTAGGATTTATGTATGTATAAAAACATACGTATGAAAAAGTAATATGGAGCCTTATGCTTCAGTCCAGCAAATACCTAAGTACACAAAAAGCTCACTGGACCAAAAACAAAGACATAAAATCAAGCCCTAACAAATTCAGGAGAAATGTTAGGTATTGAACAAAATTACATTCTGTACCACATATTGAATTTTTTTACTCCATATGAACATGTAGCAATTAACAATACTCTACTTTGAAATAATGTTTTTGCAAGTATTAAAAACAGGTAAACAGACAGAAATATACTTATTAAAACTTCCAACAAATTAATTTCTAATTTTTTATGTACACCAAGTCCTTCAATCGAGTAAGACTGCAGTGTGACACGAGGATGTATTTGCAACATGTAAAATGCTATGTTGGTCCAATACCGAATTCCTAGAGATGCACAGACACATGCTTACACAGCACTGAAGCATCCAACTTCAGAGCCTACAAAAGTGCACACTGGTGTATTTATATTTGGGTTAGGTACTTCCTAGATTTACAACAAATTGAAGTATAATATTGGGCATAAATTCTGCATTAATAAAAAACATTGTAACTATGTGTTACTTACATGAGCACCAGTGAGAATTAACACTATGAGAGCGTAAAATAATTTAAATGACAGTTTCTTTCCTACAGGGTGAATTTTGCCAAAAATCTACATCTGGCACTTCTGAACAAACAAAACCATATTGACTGTGCTTATTAAGCAGAAAATTAAAGTGGGGTTAGGAAAGACATAAGGCGACATTTAGAATGCTATTACGAAGCAAAATGCTATTATGAGACATTACGCAATCACTCCACACTAAGGTTTCTGTCACAGTCATTTCAGAGGCTGAAAAGCTACAGCATTCATAGTTAAAACTGGAACACTGCTGTATCACCTGCGCCCTCAATTTTTTTGACATACCATTCATGACTAATGTTTGAGGTCTCAATCCTACTGTGACCTCAATCCTAAAGAGTAACCAGTGGGGCAGTAAAAACAGAGATCCAGTTCTGGACAGCTATTGCAAACTTGGTGCAATATGGTTCAGGTAGCAGTAGATGCAGGTCCAGTACAAACAAAATTCTAGGTACATCAGAAAGGTAATACATATAAAGCAGGTGTGAATTTAAAGTTCACTAGCTATTCCATACTTACTGTCTGTATGTATACTTGAACTGCCTCTTGATTTAGTATGACTATGTGCAAAGATGGTTCACTAACAAACTTTTCTCTTTAACCCTCTTCATCTGTTCCATGCATCTCCCTTCTCACAACAGAAACTTCAAGAGGCAGTCTTGACAGCTGACCTTAAATGTCAGCTAAAAAGTTTACTTATTACTGAGTGTAGATGGAGTATAGTAGATGGGAGGTATAAAAATGAGGAATATCTTCATCCAGCATTGCTACCCAAAACTTCATAACCTGAACCCACTCTGTCAAGTCTCTGATGTGCAAAGCCACCCATACTCTTGACATAAATCTGCAAGAAATCATAATTAAGTCACAAAACAAAGGGTTTAACCCACAAGTAACATTTTTAGAGCAGAAAAACTCTTGTCAATGCCAGAAAAAAACCAAGCAGCAGACCATCTAATCTCCAGAGCATACAGATAATATGCTCCCTGCAAAGAGCACAAGTAAATAAAGAGGCACCACAACAGTCTCATCACACAATACTTCAAGGCTCCACTCAGTTGTTCTCAGACATAACTAATGCCATTTTCGTTAACAGCGTCTTCATATTATAGACTACCTCTGACCTCGCTCAAAGGAATAAAATACCTGCTTGCTTGACCTAGCTGAATACCTTCCATGATCAGCACCACTCCTAAACTAGCAGCTATCTGGTTGAATCTCCTCATGATGGATCTTGTAACGCTAATTCTGGAGCTATGGCAATGTCGTGCACTAGGTTTCTTTGGATAAATGATCTTCAAAACTTCGTATTTTCTAATCTGTTGTATTGAGCAAGGAACAGGAAAAAAAAAACCCCACTTAATAAACAAATACAGTATTCTTTTATATAGACTCATGGACATAATGTTTCTCACATCAATTATTTTTACAATACCGCAGTTTTATCTCCCAAATATCTGCTTTACAGGTGATGATAATTTAGCTTCTTTACTTTCTATGACTTTTCAATAGCTATCCAACTGAGTTGTCCACATAAGTTTTTAATTCCTCCAACTGAAATCTTCAACATTGGTTTCGTAATTAAAATTTCACTGAATATAGCACATACAATTAATCAAACTACTTGTAAGCACAGCAGTTGTGTAGCTCAGTGTATTTCCAAATTACATACTTGTCAGTAGAGGACCTCATATCTGTAATGCTTAAATTAAGCAGCATAAGTTGAAGTATCTCGTGTGAAGGCTCCTATCCACAGTTACATTTGCAAAGGATTCTGATTTTACAAAAATTAAACTGTAAATATGTAAGATACACCATTTTCTTCTTCACCAAGACATTGGACAAATGTCAGCCACAGTCAAAGAGTCAACCAGTCAAAGAGCATATTCTCACCTCCCACTAGTATGGAGCAGAAAAAAAGATTTTCCACTATCTGTCACACAATACCTATGGAAAAGACCTTTCAAATATAAGGAGAGATTACATGAATGACTTTATAAACCTAAAATCAATTTAATAAAACATTACATCCTCTCAATAACAGGAATTTAATCTCTGTTCAATCTGTAGGACAGCATAGATGTTTTGGAAGGGATCTCATTCTTTATTAAAGTGATTTAGATTGCCAACAATAGATTTCAAAAAGCAAAAGAAATTTATAAGCCATAAAAATTCTATTACACAGAATGCTGTTAGTGGCTATCACTGAGCAGATCTTTGATCAGAAGCATTCTTAGAGAGTTCATTCTAATCACTCATTTCTAAACTTCAGAAATTGTGAGACTGCTAACCCCCTTTTTCTAAGCTTAAGCAGAAGGGTGTTTTTCCATGGCGGTTTAATACAAATCCAAGCTGTCATACTCTGCCACTTCATTGTCTTGGCACTGGGGTTCACAGAGAGTGAGGAAGCTGATCCCAATGATCCGCATGAATATGAATCTCACCAAAAATTATTTTTCATTGGTCCTTGATCATCTCAGGAAGGAATCCTACAAGCATCAGTGCCACCACAGGGAAGGAAGCAGGCAGCATGCCTTCAACAAAGGACAGGAGGAGAGCAGAGATCTTGCAGCTGGTACATGGATCAGTCGAAGCACCACAGAACTGCCTCATACAGGTGCAGTTTCACATATAAC